CATCTTGTATTTTTTTAATTAAGAATAAGCTACCAACTTATCTAAGAGTAAGCATTCTGATTTAAAAGGATTTCTAGACTCATTATCTACTAGAGGCATGGTGCATGAAAATTCATGCACTGGAGGGGGTGTCCCTCAGCTTGGCCTGCCCCCTCTCACAGTCTAGGAACCCTCAGGGGCAGGAGGCGACCTGGTGATTAGGGGAAGATGATGCCCTCATTATACTCCTGCTGCTGCCACTGCTGGCAGCTCAAGCCTCAGCCAGCCTGGTAACCTGAGCCTCAGGCAGCTCTGGGTGGCCGGGCAGCCACCATCTGAGGCTTGCCTGTGACTTGGGCTGGCCTGGGTGGCTGGGGGGCGAAGGGGACTGGGGGACTCCAGAGGCAAGTACCTTGGTGAGGCTGAAGGGACTGGGCACCACCATCTGTGGCTGTGGGATCTGCCATCTTTGAAGGTGTGGCAGTCAATTAACATATTCCCTCCTTATTGGCTGTGGGTGCTGCCATCTTTGTGAGGAAGTGATGGTCAGTTAACTTATTCCTTTTTTATTAGATAGGGTGAAATGAAAAATTTATATTTATTCATTTAAGTATTTACTTTTAGGCCATAAAGTATTTTAGCAACACTTCCAGGTTTTATGTTTTACTTTTTCTTCTCTTTATATCCATAGCATGTACCACTAGTGTATGTTTACCACAATACTTTTATTATCTCCAGCAATAAAATTAATTAAAAACATATTCTACTTATTTAAGTATTGTTAAGCCATTATGCTTCTTTGGAAATAAGACGTGATTTTCTAATAGATGTGACTAACAAACATTGCCTAAATCTCAGGTGCACCAGAGTGTCAGCTTTTCAGTAACTATTTTTTTTATTTATTATTTTTTTTCCTCTCAGTAGCAGAAAATTTAACCTCACTAAGTGTATTCTTAACTCAACCTAATGATATCTCCATTGCGTTTAGTTTGAAACAACTTTCCAGAGCTGGTCCAGGGCTCAGTACTGTTCCAATATGCCAAAGTCGTGGCTTTGATTCTGGTCAGGGTACATTTGTATCAATAATGAATTTGTAAATAAGTGGAACAACAAATGATCTCTCTCTCTCTCTCTCTCTCTCTCTCTCTCTCTCTCTCTCTCTCTCATCAATCAATAAATAATTTTCCCATTTTGAGATAAAACCTCTTCTCAGATTTGTCCTTCCTTCACTTTCTCCCTAGGATTGTCTCTCTACTCTTAAAGTTATTCACATTTCAAAAATTGTCAATTAAGAGGTTGCTGTTAGATGTTTAGTCCTGTCATTTCAGGCCTATCCTGGCCTTTGTTTCCAAGCACAATCCCTCCCGCGCTCTTCCTCTCTCTGCATGCTCTGTACCGGGCTCCCCTGATAATGAACTGTTTCACTTGAGTTCGACCTCTTAATGCCTGTGATCCTCCCACATGCTCAGGTGGTGTGGTCCATGTCATTTCTCCTGCCACGGGGTGCCCACATGATAGTTATGGAACATAACTCGCAGACTCCCCATAATACTTTCTGAGCCAATGTTTTCTTCTTGGAGAGCCCAGGGAGAACTGAGGACTAAGGAGGGGAATTCTCCAGGCTTTTCATGCTTGCTATTTCTACTTCCTTATCCCCAGTGTCTTTTACACAAATTGAATCTATGAAGCAAAATCTCAGCTAGAAAATGAGAAAAATGAATTATGGTGCCTTATTCAACAGATTTTTCAAATTTTAAAGGGATATCATATTATCATCATCCTTGAACAAGATTTCTCACTTATTCCTAATTATCCTAAATTTACTTTCTGTGTCCATACTTTTTACACGCTTTTCCTGGGTCTAGTTTTCCCCTTTCTTTCCGTGGTCAGGTGGTGGTGGTGGCGATAAAAATGGAGGGAGGAACTGGATCTGTGGGCTCAGATTTCCTTTTCAGTTTTTCTTCTGAGTCTCAGACTCCCAACTATGAAGCCAATGGTGTGATGTCTTTGTCTCCAGGTCCATTTCTTATGACAACATTGTAGGCCAAATGGCTACCTCATTCTTCAATGTTCACACTGGGGAAGTTCGAGGGGAGGTGGTTATCTATATCAAAAAGCATTTCCGTCAATATGACATAGCCTATTGCATTATTAAAGTACATAATCTTCATTCAAAGTATAACAAATAGTAATCACTTATATCTTAGGAAAAACATTGCAGATGTATAGTTTAAAAAAAAAAATCACTAAGACAGCTATTTTGTTAATCCTGATATCAGTTCCATTTAAGTGTTTCTAAACAGTGAAAAAAATAATATAAAAATGCATTAACAATTCCTTGAATTGATTTATGAAATAATTTTGACTTGGGAAGTTAGGGTGTATAAGCTAGTGTCACAGCCTACAGCCTACATAGATCATACAGGCTACGCCAGGCTCTGACATCAGACCATCTCATCTTCAATCCTAGCTCTACTGCTTGATAGTTGCATAACTTTTCTTAGTTTCAATTTCTCATTTGTGAAATGGATACTACTATAGCATGGTGGGTGGCATTAAGTGAGATATTTCATGTAAAGCACTTAGCACAGTGCCTGGCACATTCAGCCACAAGAAAATGCTCATTAACATAATTTTTATGCTGTTTATTTTCCTTTCTACTGACAATCTCATTGACTAGATGATAAAGCAAATGTGGTTACAAGTATAGAAGATAAATATGGGTGATTTCAGATAGCCAGTGGGGAGATTTCAGGATACATTATAAACTTATTTTATATTTAAAATCGTTTAAGTTAGGGAAGTGAGAAGAAAATGAAGGCCTGAATAAGAACAAAATCATAGCAGTGAGTTTTAAGTTCTGGTAAACAATTTAGGGAAATCCTCAATATATGTAGATCACATAAGGATGATGAGTTAATGATATATGCAGACCACATAAAGTTCATGTGGATTAATGATTTTGTCTTCTTTAACCCTTATTGAGAAAACTAACTGCACTGCATAGCTTTTTAATGTCCTGATCTAGCCTCATCAACTGTATAACAGGAAAAATTATAGCCACACTTCTCTGTTGCAGCTTATTAGTAGTAGGCTCTGTTGCTTGTGGTTCATTTTCTTGTGCTTTGCTTATGCCTATTTTGAAATTTACAGGTATGACTATGTAGCCATTAAAGAAAAGGTTTGATTTATGTGCCTTTACCACATTAGATATTTAATGCATTTCAGGTCATAGGTGAATTGAATTGATTTTTTTTAAGGTAATGGAAAGACTTGACAACAACAAAAAAAATTGAAGAGATGAAGTTATAACGAGAGAATGCCTTCTGCTATTCTGGTTGGAAAATTTCGGGCTATGTTAAGTAATTCAATTCTTGTCCACAGAAAACGGCTAACATGATTTTGAAGGAGTCGTATGTCTTGGCAAAGCAAACTAGGGATTGCCTTTATTTAAAGGGGAAAAAAGACACTCAAACCACTTGATGATTCCAACACTATTCATGACTTGCAGTGCTGACATTCTATAGATTGATGGAGTCTTCAAGTGTGGAAATACTGAGTCATACAGAAGATGAGATGTTTTAATAATGAAAAAAAAATATTTAGCAGTCAGCAGATTGTCAGTTAAGGTGGTTTCGATTATAAGAGTCACCCAACAGAGACTAGGGTATGTTGTAAATTATTCTAACCACACAATCATTTGGAAATGAGTAAAGCAAACAGAGTGAATTGGTATACCCCAAATCCTTTTATCTCCCCCCCTCCCCACTGCCTCTTTCTCCTCTTTCTCCTCCTATTCCTCCTTTGAAATGGGGGTAGTGGTAAGGGGCTGTAGACTCTGTATCTAAACACAATATATGTACACATGAGAAAAATAAGATGAGACTAAGCTTTCTTCAGGAATGTTATTTTCTCCACAAATGCTACAGAATATAGTGACTTGTGGTTCTGTGAGTTGCTTGTTTCCTATTTGTTTCTCTTCCTTTGTGTAGATTGTTTTGAAACTATCTTAATGCCTCCCATCAATGACAAGCTAACTTTGTCCATTTTGTAATGATAACCATTGTTTTATAAAATTTTTTGACAAGTTGGAGAGACAAGAAATGAAATCCCTGCATCTGGTTTAGTAACAATTGCAGTTGAAAACCATGCTGGTTAATTTAACCATTCTATTGCCGACATCCAACCTAGACTTCAGCAGTTTTAGATCAAGAATCAAGAAGCTAGCCTGTGATCCCAGCATCCACAAAAAGCAATCAGCTGCATTCTACCCCTTGTGTAATAGCCTTAACTTCATGTTTTGGTATTTGGTTTTAAAAAAAATAAGAGCAACCATTATTCTGGATCTTTACCCTTCTAAATATTTATGCCCCAGGACAAAAAATAATGGAAACTGAAGAAAATTGCATCAAGTGGGTATAAGTTGAAAGAGTTATACCAATTTCCCACATCAGAAATTAGTCCATTGACTATATGAGTACCAAATCAGAGTTACTTTTTTGTTTCATTTCCTGTTTGATAAACTTCTTCCTAAGTAATTTAGCTACGTGTTGTAATTCATACATGTTCACATATTTTTCTTTTGTCACTATTCTTTTAAATTTACCTGCAAGTTTTTTTTTTTAATTAAAAAGTGCTGCCTAAATATACTGAAGATTTGTTACATCATTTCTCCCCCCTCCCCCATTTCAGCTCCCTTTGAAATTACAAATAAAATGGTTTATTTTATTGTTTTATTCACTCATAATCTCAGGAAATAAAAAAATAAAAAATAAAAAACACTAAAGAATTTGTACTGTCCAAATAGCACTACTCTCTGGTCAAGAGTTCTTGTCACCTGCTGGTTGATATTTGTAAAACTATGAGCTCAAGCACTGACTTTCGTTAGAGATCAGGTGTTCTGAACTCACAGCCAACATTGTCTTTTTGGTTCCTATGTCTTGTGCATTGTAGATGATGCCTATTCTTTTAGTGTGACATATATTAATGCTTTTCATTGATCTCATTGTCATGTTTTCTAGGTCTACAGCACCAAGACAAGAGCAAGGAATCACCATGGTACTGAAATGCACGGTATTAATAAGTCCGATTGGAGCTTGAGTCCTCTGGCCCACTGGGAATAGATGCTTCCAGGATTTCCCACTCTGTGATTGGACACAATAGACATGGAAGGAGGAGTGCCAGCCAGCTGACTTTGCATTGGAGCTTTTTATTGAGAAAGCAGAGTGGGTCCTAGACAATGAAGAAAAGCATTTTTTGTTTATTTTCCCTCTCATCTGAGCCTTTGCCAACTGTGCAACTCTTTTTTTTTCTTTTTTTTTCGGTCTTGCTTTTATCTCAATACATGGTTTAATGTTTGTTTCATTTTGATTTCCTTTTTAACCAGCCACCTTGTCAGGAAAAGATGAATCACAAATGAATATGCTCATTCTTTCAGGAATAAAATTTTATAGCTCTATGTGTATCTATTTTTGTAGAAATACAGAAAGTTTGATTTAGCATTGATGGGCTATTTTTGAGGGATGTATTTTTTTTAATATTGTAAAAAATCATTAAGTTCTGTTTAAAGAACTTGCTCTCAGAGAAGCACTGGCAAAAAAAAAAAAAAGTTTAAAATGCTTGTCTTTTAAGATGTCTGTGATATGCTCTGTGCTTTCTAGGTTACCTCAAGTGTTTGATAGTTTACCCCTTTTTTTACAGAAATAGCACCATAGCCAAGCCAATATAGTGTTGTATTACATTAAATCTCAGTGAAGATTGAATTCCATGCTACCTTACTTTGCTTTGAATAATATGTATAGCTTGAAAAGGAAGTTTTTTAATGAACACACTAGAGAAAGAATATTTGATTACTTTGATTTCTCCCAATGAGTACTTGTAGGTTGATTTAAAAAGTTTTGCATAAAACTACAATCAAATGAAGAATTTGCATATAATATGTAATTCTCTTTGTAGTCCATTTGAGTTTGATAAGTGGAATCTGAGGTTATATCCAACTACTAAAAACAAATTGCATTTAACCGTGCTACCTTTGAGTGCCAGTTACTTATTTTTCTCATTCATGGCAATTTTTAAGATCATATTTTAAGTGGAGTTCTTTTCTTTGACATAGTTTAAAGAGATACTCTTTGTGAAATTACAAGACATATTACAAAGCCTTTAATTCAATGACTCTTTCTGATCATGTTATCTATCATTGTGAATTGAAAACTAATGTAGTGCATGTGCAATATTTTAAACATAGGATTTTGCAAGTTTTTTGTTTTTAATATGAGTTTAGGTGATTTAATTCTTTATAAGAAAGACACTTAGAGCAAAATGAAATTTCAATTTGAATTTATACCACAATTACTGAAGTTGGATTAAGAATTTGACAATTTGTTATTTAAAATTTATTTTTAGAAACCCCAATTCAAGTTGACTGACCATCATAATGTAAATAAGGTAAAGCTGGAATTATTAAGAGCCTTTTAGAAAAATATTATGAAAGTAGCAGTTAATGGTAGTTTAAGGACTTTTAATGCAAAGTCCATTTTTTCCCCGGATCTTTTCAGAAATGGGTCATGTTAAAAAAGTTAATGTGATAGAGAAGTTTTTTTGTTTGGTAAAACAATTTCTCAAATTTTTTTCCATCTCTCTCTTCACCCATATGAAATACAATGTTTAGTGAAAGACCATTTTTCATCTTAAATTGTGTATATTATGTATGTGAACATTTTAGATATAAGAATAAGAAACCTCTACTTAGCTAGGCAGAGTCCTCACAGGTAATTCTCAAATACGTCCCGTACCTGTATTTCACGTATTAGTTTTCTTGTCTGGAGCATCTCATGAGGAATAGGCTTTCTTGTGGTATTCTTATCACTCCATACATTGCTTCTTCTTAGCCAGACTCTCCTTAGCACAGTATGCACATTGTTACCTAATTTGAGGCCCAAACTTAAGGTATCTGCCACTTACTAATGACATGAACTTATATTTTTAGGGCCTGGCTTACGTAAATGATCTACATTTTGATTTATAATTTGATATATTACAGTAAGTAATTTTGCCGAAGTCTGTGGAGCACAGAATTGAATGTATTCATAAAATTGGTTTCATTTGTATCCTCCTGAGTTTTCAAAGACAAGTATTTGGTATTCCCATGGGAAGACTCACTGTGGATTATTTATTTTTCTCTTCTTCCCTTGGACCTATTAACTTCCTTTTCAGTGTCTCTGAGAATAGTATAGTGCATCAAGTCATTTAAATCGTTCAATTGGATTTTCCCAGTTAAGAGAAGAAAAGTGTTAACCCTCTGCTCTTTTCCTTATTCTCCGCTGAATTGAATTGAAGGAGAGAGAGCAACTAGATAGCTTCACTCTAAATTGAGACTGTGTTCTGTGTCATTCCTGGCAACTATAGGATAAAATATTTCTTGGCTCTGGGGGCCTAAGAAAAGTTGGGGACCTAAATTCTGCTGTATACAGGAAAGATTTGTAAGTGAGAAAGGGCCTAGGTGTTGTTGGAACAGCAAGGGTTAGATTTTTGCATATGCAAGGAGTGGACCCAGTCTACGTGAAAAGAGAATGAGTGCATGTCTATAATTGTCTGGCTCCCCTTACTCTGATGACATTATCATTACCAGCAGAGGTTATAAAAAGGGATCAGTTGTAATTTAGCACAGTGTTCTGAATTTATTTTAGGTTTAAAATGCTAGCACACTCTGGGTCTGGTTTGCTAACATCAAAATGATTTGGTTGAACTTCCAAACTGCTTTACTGAGGGCTGCCACCTCCCTCATCAACTTCACGTGGAACCACTCTATCTTTGACTACTTTACAAATTATTCAAGCTTTCTAAAGATTTGTGAGCTAGCCCCCTAGAAAATGACCTGATTTAGTTGGCATCTAATCTATGCTTCCACCTAAACTATCATGAGCTAAGGAACAACGTAATAGTGACAAATCGATCCTAACAGGTTATTGGCCCCTCATTGTTTATTTGAAGAGTACTAAACTTAAAAAAACAAACAAAAAAAAACCCAGTGTTTCTTCTTAAGAAGGTTAACCATCCACTCCTATTTTCTCATATTTCTCTTTCCTCTTAAAATTACCTTACAATATTATTTTAAGCAAAAGTAGCCACTATTGTTTTGAATTTTGCGAATGAGAACTAGTGGATGACAAATTAGGAGTTGAAGAATTAATTTCTTTAACTTCATAAGAAACTTTAAAAACAACACATTCCAGGCACTAGCTTAAAATGTGTTGTTGAGAAGTTCATTATTCATTATGCACATAGTATTTGCCCATTCCTACTCTAAGTGAGACCTATAGAATACATGACAGAATCCATCTCACTTTTACATTTGCTCTCTGGTTTAATATTACATTTGTAATTTGAAGGGGCAATCAGAAACTGTATTTCAAGAAACTGCATTATATTTCTTACTGAGCATCCATTTGTTAGATAATATATGCTGAATTAAGTCAATGGGACAGTGGCATTAACTGGTAGAAAAGGAAATAATTTATGTTAGAGTTCTAATGAGGATATTAATTGAAAAGTAGAATGAATTAATGGAAAAGAGCATTGTGTTGGGCATTAAGTTATTCTCTGACTTCTGGCTTAGCCACAATTATATATATGTGATTTGGGGGTTTATTTATTTATCTCATGAATAAATGGGATAATAATACCTACTGGCAGGGCTGTGAAGGTTGAAAATCATACATATGTATATAAAATCCATCATCAGCTCATAGTAAATGTTTAATAAATAACAGCTACCACACATGTCTATCAGTTGAGTGAGTAGGTCATAAAACTGAGCTCCCAAATGTCCTCTCTCTTTACTTCCCATAGCCATCTCTGCAGCAGTAGATATATTATCATGCTTTTCCATAACAAATTAATGCAAGAGAATCTTTGCCTTCTACTAGGTGTTGAAGATAAAATGTAAAATTCTTAGTTATCCCTAATATTGGAGTGTGCCATTTATGAAGGAAAATAACCTCTCAGTGGTATCTAGGTTCAACTCTGAGTTTTCTTACATATTCCAAAATTGGATTCATCCAGGACCCTGTGTAGTTTCTTCTCCAAAATTAAGGCAACAGGTTTATTAAATCGCCAACGTTAATATTTTTCAGTTATATTTGGGGCTTCCTTAGTACCTGGAATAAAAACATCTTTTTTGACGTTATTCATTTTCCCCCCCTTCTTGCCATGGAGGAAAAACTGCAAGATATGGTGGAAAAAATGGTCTGCATGTAAAAGGGAGAAAAAAATAAAATGCAGAACCCTTTAAGATCTCAGTCAGCAGATTTACTCTGCTTGAGAAAAAAAGAAACAACTTTATTGGAAGCAGCTGTTGACACTGTGTCGGTTATTGAAGATGGAAAGAGTTCAGTTGAACCATTGCAGTTACAAAGGGGTATTGATGGCAGTTAGAATTCCTGTGATTGATCACCTTCACAACAGACAGAAGGACAGCAGAAAGCAGAAACTTTGAGACTGAGACTGAAACCAGCCTGCCAATTTTAATAGGCAGGGCCCAAGGAGGCAGTTTTGTTTTGTTTGTCTTTTATCTAGAATAAAAAACACATCCTTGAGAAAATGTAAGCCTTGTTTGAGAGAGAAATAAAAATGTATTTCCTAAAATCATGGCCCAAGAACACTTTAAATCTAGTATTAATGCATTAAAACTATTATTAAAGTTGTTTTAGAAAAGTTAGGTTAAAATTTTTATTCAATGATGTATATTGTAGGTGAATCTGAAAACGATACAAAGGTGGATATGACTCTAAGATTGGGCCTGCAAGGAGAGAGACCTCAGTCTCAATAGCCACAACACGTTATCTTAGTAACGTGGTCACAGAACAGACTTTCAGAATTTTCCTGTAGGCTTTCCTTTCTTTTAGTCTCTCTGGGAATATCACCATGTACACTTTTCCAAAGTATAGAAATAGTCATTATTATTCAACTATCATACTTTTCTTATTTCTTATATTGTCCATTGTGCTTTTTTTGTTTGTGTGAAAAATATTTTTATAGTTCCAAATAATTGATAAAACTATTTATCTT